AGCGGCGCTTCACGCCGCGGCCTATACTAATCTTACTCCAGAACTGTAAGTTGGACCACAGGTAAGTTGAATTAGACGACCTCCTAACCACCATTTCATTTTTCGATTCAAGAAGCCTGCAATTTAACGACCTCCTAACCAACATTTCAATTTTTCGGGAAATTCAAGAAACCTGCAACTCCGCAATAAGTTGAATAATAATACAGACTAGGAAAATCTACATATATAAATCAAAAACACCCCTAAATTCATTAAAATAAAGATGCATTTAGCATTTATTAAAATATATTTCATTGCATGTCCTAATTTTCCGCCCATAAAATCCAATAAACACCGTTTTCGTAGGAAAACATGCAGGTGGTAGGGATTAATGAGTGGGGCTACATAAGCTACTGTTGCCCAATTAGGGATATATACTATGACCCTGGATTGACTCAACGGATACTAGGACGCCTATTTTATTTTGATTTACATGTGCAGTGACCGCAAGGGAAGTAAAGTATGGATAGGTGGAGGGGAAACTTACTTTTTTGAATATCAGAGAGGTCAGTATCCCTTTCAATGACTGACCTTGCTACAGCAATAGCTTTCAACACTAAGCGTAGAGCAACCTCATGCTCTTCCACATCTGCGTCTTTCAGTCGCATCTTGTTGACTTCTGCGATCGTGCTCTCCAGCAGAAGCCTATACTGAACCCTGACGAGCACATCAGTAGTGAGATCCACAGCTTTTCGAAGCATGCTGGCCCTCTTGTCATAGGCATAGGGACCTACAATACCGGAAATACTCCAGATCACTTTGAATCTTACTTCTCCGCTCCCGGAAAAAAATGCGTTTAACTGGTGTGATAAAAAACCGCAAGATATTTAGACGTTATAGAGAGTTATGAAAAATGAAGCCAAACGGAGTGGTTAGCCGCTTGGCCTCAGTATAAGGGGTAATCATGATAGGTACTGCTTAAGCCGATATAAGCAGTAAGCATAAATGCGCGCGATGGCTAATATTCGCGCGACTTTACTGCATTAAGCCAATGCTAACAGCGGCCCAAAGGCCATGAAAACGTTCCTTACCGCATAGAAACAATATGCAAGGAGCAGTCAGCGTTCGATTTCAGCTAATTCAATGCTAGCTTCTATACCCTATGCCTGCGTCCACATTTTTTCCTGATTCAACTCCGAATTCACTCTCGAAAAAGCGATTACCACGAGATAAAGTACAAGAATTAGTACTACTCACACTTATACCGGCAGTAGTCCTTTCGATCTCACTTTTAGTTGTGGCTATTTGTCAGGTAACTGAGAAAGGAAATGTGACAGCCATGCACAGGAAGGACGAATGTTTTGTTTCTACTAGGTAAGCCCAAAAGTGCTTCAAAATGCGTCATTGCGTGCATTCAACATCCACAATAAAACATACCCAAAGCATTTGGATTTTTCGGAGGATCTGGAGGGTGGTATGGTCTTTCGTCGGGCACAAAATTCACTAGTGCATCCCGTAACTCTTTCTGAGCTATAGGAAGGAAATAAATATAGTTTAAAGAGACAAACGTGGCATGATACAAAATTTTAAAAATTATGTATTTCTGATAAATGACAGAAGACAGACAGCTACGTGTCTAGCTTAAAGTACATTAATATAGACTGTTCTACCATTACCTATGATTAAGGTTTCCTGAGGGAATCAATAACGTCAGGACAATAAACCTCTTGTTCCAGTGATCGCCTTTTCTTCTTTTGAACTGCTTACTGGAACTCGGATATTCTCCATTTTTACATTAATATAGTTTATTAGGGAGTATCGTTTATCTGTATAGCCTTTAAGCATGTCATCTATGACAGGGCGGTTGATCACCTAG